CACAAAGTTTATTCAGAAATAAGTTTAAGGTTTGTTTGACGTGTTAAATATCATATTAAATGATACTTACACTGGATCAGAGCACATCTTATTGACAGTGGAGCTGTTTGAATTTGTTGCTTTCAGTCATTTCACAGAACTACTTGTAGTTTTTGACATTGAGCTATTTCTGTATCACACTATATTTAATGACTCACTCATTTTATCCCACAGGAATACATTATAAAATCTCTCTCAGGTCTGCACAGAACCCAACAACACATTATCATTTCACTTTATGAATGGATATTGTAACAATCCAGAATATGAATCAAACTTGTGAAGATGTGAAACTCCTAACCTGTTGATCTAGAGGAGCAACCCCTAGTGACTAACCACTAAACAAAGCACATTAAGGAAACTTAAACTTTGACCCATCTGAAAGAAATCAACAGATTTGTGCTTTAAGTGCTATAAAGGAAATGAGAAACTCCACAGTGGATATTCGGATTTTATACATGATTATTTTATTATTATATAAAGGAGGGAGGATTGTAGTGGGAGCACGGGGGTGTCAGGTGTGACTGTGTGAAGGTAGGAGGAGGTAGGACAGCCTCTGGGCAGGAATTCAGCTTAAGGCGCCATAACTGCTCTTAAAATGCACCAGGACCACATTCTGTCACTGTGAGCCGCCTTTCTACCCTGAGGGGGGGTCAGGGTCACTTTGTACATTCTGTACACTATATGCAAAGCAGGAGGTTGTTTTTTAGGACATGGGTTTATTTGAGATCATTTGTAATAACTTTTTACATTTTCTCTTCGTCTAAGGAGTCGAGAAAAAGGGTCAATCACAATACTCATAAAAATAATATTTACTGTGCTTTAAATCAGTGTGTGTGTGTGTGTGTGTGTGTGTGTGTGTGTGTGTGTGTGTGTGTGTGTGTGTGTGTGTGTGGCTCAAGTTGGCTCTGATAGAATGAAAATGTTACATGTCTTCTGCCGTCCGGGTCTCTTGCTTCTATAGAAAGGAGGGTTAGGGGAACGTTTACGTCTCTCTGCCCTGGCACATAATGTCTTAATTCATTAAGCACACAGTTGCTGTATAATGTTCCCAGTTTTCTATCTGAAATCTTTCTTTTTAAATCTCAAGGGATAGGTCGACTTTTCCATTGAATGTATTTCCTGAACAATAGCAAGACAGAGCATCCTAACGAGCATTAATTATAATATTCAGTGTTCTGTGCAAGGTGCAGTGCCTTAGTGTTTTTCCACATGACCAAATGAAAAGTTGACTTCTTTGTCCCCTATTCAGGACAGACAGAGAGGCAATTCATGGCAATTCAAGTATAGCCTGTGCCCCCCAGCTGTGTGGAGTACTCAGTCAAGTCTTCAGCCTGAGCCTCCAGAGGGTCCCTGTGCTGTGGAAGACGTCCTGCCTCGTTCCTGTGCCAAAGACACTGCGTCCCAGCGGCCCTCAGGACTATAGACCGGTGGCTCTGACGTCCCACATCATGTAGACCCTGGAGAGGCTCGTTCTGGAGCAGCTAAGGCCTATGGTCAGACCTTTCACCGATCCACTGCAGTTCGCCTACCAGCCCCGCCTGGGAGTATAGGACAGCATCATCTACCTGCTGAACAGAGTCTACACTCATCTGGACAAGCCGGCGAGCACTGTGAGAGTCATGTTCTTTGATTTCTCCAGTGCTTTCAACACCATCGGTCCGGCTCTACTGGGTGAGAAGATGGTTGCGATGCAGGTGGAGGCCCCCATCGTGTCCTGGATTGTTGATTACCTGACGGGCAGACCACAGTACGTACACCTACAGAACTGTGTGTCTGACAGGGTGGTCAGCAACACTGGGGCCCCACAGGGGACTGTCCTCTCTCCCTTCCTCTGTTGTGCCTAGGCAAAGCCTATCCATCTGAAACAGAAGGTGCTGTATTTGTTTCCCCTTTATCTATCCAGATAAAACCATTAAGAACAGTTTCTGTTTGATGGTTATTAGACCTATGTAATCTGAATCTGAAGGGCACGTTGTCATGAGCTGTATCTTGTATATTTCTTATTTGCTATGTGGTATGTGTATGCACCTTTATGTAATCTGGTGGAAAAACATTAAAATTTAAAACTGGATCATATCAAACAAATATCTGCTTGTGTGTCCCTGTGTATGCAAAGTGTCCTCCTGTTTGATGTGAAGGAAATGGCCACCCTAGCAGGGGGAGTGCAGGTGACCAGCAGGAGTGTGAGAGTAGTCGAGCTGAATGCAGCCAGGCATTATTTTTCTTAAGAGAAGGTACTACATGGAGCACTGAGATGTTTAATATACAAAGCTGAGCACCGAGTGCTGATTTAGAGTATAGAATATGGTTAATGTTCTTATTTTTAGTGGTAGGTGGTGAACTCATATGTTTACTGTATGTTTACTGTACAAAGCTGTTCTGCTGTTACTGTTCTAAATTTCCAGTGATGATTGTGCTTAGTCTTATTAAAACTGATAACTACACAGAACACTGAGATTTTTATTCTATTTTTTAAGTATATTTAACATTTTTATTTTATTTATTTTATTATTAAAGGATATTGTTTAAAGTGGTGCTTTAAACTGATTACTATACAGAACCCTGCTATGTTCACTAACTTCTTGCTAACTCCGTACAGCAAACCATGCTCTTGTTCTGTGTGTTACCACTTGGTAAGAGTACACCCAGCAGATTTAATGTGGCCAAGAAAAGCAAGATGAAAACAAACGGGTGTAACTGTACAATATAAACTGAAGTGATTGCCCATATTGAAGTGGGCGATCAGTGGCAGCTTTCATTTTTGTTACTTTTGGGCGGCCCCCCGCCCCCCCGATTAATTGTTGTTACCCCCTGTGCCCCCCACCAGAAAATTCTCTGGACCCGCCCCTGCTGGTAGAGTAGCAGTGTATGTGGACTGTCCTGCTGGCACTCTGTGTAAACAGCAATAATTACTGTAATCTCACAGATAATGACTTTTATTACACTTCTATAACTTTTAACATTCACATTAAAATAATAACAATCCAATAATAACAGCACTCTGCTGGAAATGTAAGTCTGATTATTGTATTATAGCAGAGTTCACCTGGATTTATAGATCATAGTTTACACTGTAAATATCTTTAAACATTAAAAAGTCAAACAATTACTAAAAACTGTATTTTAATTATAGATAATTACTGTTTTATTCGGTCTGTTATTTTCTGTTTGTTTCTGTTTGTTTGGCGCTCCAACTGCAAGAATATTCTAAATATTAAAGCTGCAAGCAGCATTGGACGGGATCTCGCCCCCGGCACGTGTCGGGGCGTGCTGCAACCGCGTCACATGCCGTCGGGGCGTGCTGCAACCGCGTCACATGCCGTCGGGGCGTGCTGCAACCGCGTCACATGCCGTCGGGGCGTGCTGCAACCGCGTCACATGCCGTCGGGGTGTGCTGCGGCCACATCACGTGCCGTCGTAACAAGTGCGGACCACAACATGAAAATGTCACGTAAATCAGCTCAAAATCGCCACGCAGCACTTACTTCCTGTTGCCACTAGGTGGCGCTATCACTATGTGTTCAGGGCGGGACTCTTATCAGACATGTGAAGTTTCGTTGCAGTCGGATCATGTACGCAGAAGTTATTACGAATCCCTCTTTTTATGGCGAAGGATCAAAATTGCACGCCACGGGACGCCACGCCACGGGCAGGAGGTTTGACGAAAAAAACTGAATAGCAAAACTTTTAATAGTGAATGCTAAGCCATTTTGCAACGCCCATCCACGGGACCAAGACAATACCTCGGCGTTCGGAACCACCGAATGCTGTGCAAAGTTTCATGAGTTCTCAGACATGTTTAGTCCCCCCAAAAGTGTGATTTTTTTTTTTGCAAATTCTTAAGATTCATAACATATAGTTAGGGCTGGATCAGGTGAGTCCTGAACCATCCCTTAGTTATGCTGCTATAGGCCTAGACTATCGGGGGATTTCCCATGGTGCACTGAGCTCCTCTCTTCCTCTCTCTTTCTGCACTCATTCATGTCCCATTAATGCATGTTACTAACTTCACTTCTTCCCCGGAGTTCTTGTGCTTTCTCGTCTCGCAGGTTCTGATGGATCCTGGTGGAGCCTCCTGCCATGGTCCTGCTGGATTGCCATTGCCAATACTGTTGTTGCTGTGCACCCGTCTGTCTGTCTGTCTGTCTCTCTCTCTCTGTCTCTCTCTCTCTCACCCCAACTGGTGGAGACAGACGACCACCCACCTAGAGCCGGAGGATCTGTCCTAGGTTTCTGCCTTTTAACAGGCAGTTTTTCCTTGCCCTTGTCGCCAAGGTCTTGCTCATGGTGGTACTGTTGGGTCTCTGTAAATAATGTTATAAAGAGTTCGGTCTAGACCTGGGTTAGGGTTAGGGTTCTCACATAATTTCAGCTGGATCTGGTCAATATGCTTGAAGATATAAATAAAAGTACTAAAAATACATTTCCTTTCACCACTAGGTGGCGCTCTCACTATTACTGAATATTATCACATAGAAGTGTTCAAGGCGGGACTCTTATCAGGCAAGTGAAGTTTGGAGCCGATTGGACAATGTACACTCAAGTTATAGCAACTTTGTGTGTTCTGGCGGTACATCAAAGTTTGACGCCACGCCACATCCACGATGTTTGACGGAATAACGTAAATAGCACAACTTTTAATAGTGAATGTGTTTAGATGGCTGTGTCCAAATCTGAAGTCAGTCCGATAAATGCCCTAGGAGGAGTTCGTTCAAATACAACGACTTTTTGAGAATGCTGCGGGGGTCAAATATGCGTTAGAAGGGGCAGAAAAATAATAATAATTCGTACAGGAACAATAGGGCCTTGCGCTGGTCAGTGCTCGATCCCTAATTACAAGTTTTATTTCACAGTTTTTATTCTAAGAAACAAATTGGGGCGAAGGCTTTTATTTTGAGACTCCAAAGCGGATGTTGAGCTTTATCTTACTACGTCACTACAGCTTTTATTTTGACAGTCTCAGACCGGATCTCTGCCTGTTGTTTATAAAACTGACCTCCGCGTTCTCTCACCGACCCTCCTCTGAACTCTCAACCCGACCATGAGCGCCTCTCTGCGGGCTCAGTGTGTGCTCCTCCTCGGCCTCCTCTGGGGCTCCCTCTCCTCGGCCTCCTCCTGCCGCCTCCGGATCCCCCCCCACGACCAGGTGGCCCGGGTCGCCCGCTTCGTCGCCCACCAGTGCGACTGGGCCTCCATGGCCACCATCTCCACCCACAAGCCGGTGGTCGGGCAGCCGTTCTCCAACGCCTTCTCGGTGAGCGACGGGCCCGAGGGCTCCGGCTCCGGGGTGCCCTACATGTACCTTACCCGTATGGAGATCTCTGTGCAGGACCTGGAGGTAACGCATTCAAAACTCCATTTGAAAATCAGCGAATTTAGCGATTCGGCCGTTAACTTTATATTTACTCCTGTGGTTTTACTGTAACATTAATACATAGACTTACAGTGTATGTAACGTTCATATAACGTTAAAGTGTCGTGAACTTTACAAAATACCACAAATAAGTTTAAACGTAATAAATTCTATTCCAGTAGGATCCTATAGGTATACAGGCTGTGCAAAACTCCATTTACAAATCATGGGATTTAATGAAGACCTGCTTTTCACTGTGTATTTACTCCCATGACCTGTCTGTAATGTTCCTGCTGGAGTCTGTAACAAGTCTGTAATGAGTCTGCAGTGTTCAGACAGTGTCTGTATTTTATTTATTGTGATATTTCTGTAACAGTGTACAGTTTTAAATCACAGATTACAGTGAAAACCATAAAAGTTGCTCTTAGCTTGGTGACATTCTTAAGGTATTTGTAGAATATTTCTTTCTCTGCATTGTTCAAAACTACCAATACATTTAAAATGTCTAATATTTTCTTGTCATACTGTGCTGTAGTGTTCACAACTCCCATATATATATATATATGTGTGTGTGTGTGTGTGTATATATATATATATATATATATATATATATATATATATAATACACAAATGGCTGAAACAAAAACAGACTAAATGAAAACCAAACATTATCTACCATTCAAAACTTGTGTAGGGATTTCTCATAGTTTTTGAGTTAAATGAACTTATCTGGTTTTATACTGTATATTTTCTTATATTATTTAATAATATAAAACTATTATAAATAAAGTCAGTGCTTGAAATAAAATGTTCTCGAGTTTCTAACAGCTTCTACTTTCAACCATCGACTCAAATTAAACATCATTTATCTAATTTTATAACTTAGTTTTAGTGACTTTTAGTGAAAGGATCAGATGAACTATTTAAATATTTACAAGCTCAAACAAACTGTTGACATAAAGGATAAAGTGGCAGTGAGAGAGCAGGAGCCTGAGAGGAGAGGTAGAGACTCCGGCTAAATTACTTGTTTTACTACCACTACAGTTAATCTGTGGTTTATTATCCTGTGATATTTATATAATGTTTATCTATAAGGTCTTAGAGTGAGTTCATGGAGAGATAGTTTATATTAATTATACTAATAATAATAGTGTATGTTTCTTTTATGTAGTGATCCTGTAATGGTCCTAAAATATTAATTTATAATATTCAGTGACAGCTGCAGAAGTTATGAAAACAGTTTATGTAACGGCTCCACCATGACGCAGCAGTTCCTTCACAGGGTGACTCAACAGTTTCCCTGTCACATGTGAGCTGAAGTCATGTGACAGGAAGCTACTGGGTGATGAACGCAGCAGAAACGTTGAGGTTTTATTAGTATGTTAACGTCTTCAGCTGATTATAAAACATCTTAAAGCTTAAATACTGTACGTTACACAGCAGGGTCAAAGTTCACAGGGACTCTTCTCATATATGTTATAATTGTAGGATTCAGTCAGCTAGTGTTTCTGTAGTGGAGACTAAACGTTAACAATGATCCATATCAGCAGTTTGAATCCAACTAAAAGCTCCCTGCACCAAACTCCCTTTAAGAAATATCACATTTTAACAATTCCTAACGTGTTCGTAACAACACGTAACTCTAGAAACACGAGCTAAAGGCCGTCATATGTCCACAGTCTGACTGTCAATACAGGATCAATATCATCCGTAAAGATACAGTGTATACTGATCAATATCATCCATAAAGATACAGTGTATACTGATCAATATCATCCATAAAGATACAGTGAATACTGATCAATATCATCCATAAAGATACAGTGTATTCTGATCAATAATCCATAAAGATACAGTGTATACTGATCAATATCATCCATAAAGATACAGTGTATTCTGATCAATAATCAATAAAGATACAGTGTGTACTGATCAATAATCAATACAGATACAGTGTGTACTGATCAATAATCAATACAGATACAGTGTGTACTGATCAATAATCAATACAGATACAGTGTATACTGATCAATATCATCCATAAAGATACAGTGTATACTGATCAATAATCAATAAAGATACAGTGTATACTGATCAATAATCAATAAAGATACAGTGTATTCTGATCAATAATCAATAAAGATACAGTGTATTCTGATCAATAATTAATAAAGATACAGTGTATACTGATCAATAATTAATAAAGATACAGTGTATTCTGATCAATAATTAATAAAGATACAGTGTATTCTGATCAATAATCAATAAAGATACAGTGTACCTGTCCCTGCAGGTGAACCCTCAGGCGTCTCTCTCCATGTCTCTGGCTCAGACTGAGTACTGCAGACAGCAGGGCTTCGACCCTCAGAGTCCGCTCTGTGCTCACATCATCCTGTCTGGATCTGTGCTGGAGGTACACACACACACACACACACACACACACACACACACACACACACACACACACACACACACACACACACACACACACACACACACACACACACACACACACACACACACTCCACACACACACACACACTCTCACACCTGTGTATCCAGGTGTGTGAGCAGTCACATGACCCTCCCTCCTTCCTGTATCCAGGTGAACGGGACGGAGGCAGAGTTTGCTAAGAAAGCTCTGTTCAGTCGACACCCCGAGATGATCGACTGGCCGTCTGATCACAACTGGTTCTTCGCCAAGTTCAACATCACACAGGTATGGTCCCCCCGAGTCCTCCAGTGTCCCCCCGAGTCCTCCAGTGTCCTCCAGTGTACCCCAGTGTCCTCCAGAGCCCCCCGAGTCCTCCAGAGTCCCCCCCGAGTCCTCCAGAGTCCCCCCCGAGTCCTCCAGTGTCCCCCAGTGTCCCCCAGAGTCGTCCAGTGTCCCCCAGAGTCCCCCCCAGAGTCCCCCAGTGTCCCCCAGAGTCCCCCCAGAGTCCCCCAGTGTCCCCCCCGAGTCCCCCCTAGAGTCCTCCAGTGTTCTCCAGTGTCCCCCAGTGTCCCCCCAGAGAGTCCCCCCCGAGTCCTCCAGAGTCCCTCCAGTGTCCCCCCCGAGTCCCCCCGAGTCCTCCAGAGCCCCCCGAGTCCTCCAGAGTTCCCCCAGTGTCCCCCCCCGTGTCCCCCAGAGTCGTCCAGTGTCCCCCAGAGTCCCCCCCAGAGTCCCCCAGTGTCCCCCCCGAGTCCCCCCTAGAGTCCTCCAGTGTCCCCCAGTGTCCCCCAGTGTCCCCCAGTGTCCCCCCAGAGTCCCCCCAGAGTCCCCCAGTGTCCCCCCGTGTCCCCCAGAGTCCCCCAGTGTCCCCCCGTGTCCCCCAGAGTCGCCCAGTGTCCCCCAGAGTCCCCCCAGAGTCCCCCAGTGTCCCCCAGAGTCCCCCCAGAGTCCCCCAGTGTCCCCCGAGTCCCCCTAGAGTCCTCCAGTGTTCTCCAGTGTCCCCCAGTGTCCCCCCCAGAGAGTCCCCCCGAGTCCTCCAGAGTCCCTCCAGTGTCCCCCCGAGTCCCCCCGAGTCCTCCAGAGCCCCCCGAGTCCTCCAGAGTCCCCCAGTGTCCCCCCCGTGTCCCCCAGAGTCGTCCAGTGTCCCCCAGAGTCCCCCCAGAGTCCCCCAGTGTCCCCCCCGAGTCCCCCCCTAGAGTCCTCCAGTGTCCCCCAGTGTCCCCCAGTGTCCCCCCCAGAGAGTCCCCCCGAGTCCTCCAGAGTCCCTCCAGAGTCCCCCAGTGTCCCCCCAGTGTCCCCCCAGTCTCCCCCCCGTGTCCCCCTCCAGAGTCCCCCTCCAGAGTCCCCCTCCAGAGTCCTACAAACATCATCAGTGTCCTCAGCCAATCAGAGGGCAGGAGGTCTCACTGACGTCGGTGTTCTTCCTCCATGTTTCAGGTGTGGGTGTTGGATTATTTTGGCGGGGTGAAGACCGTCACTCCGGAGGAATACTTCCAGGCAACGCTGCACAGGAAGCCCCATTGACGATCAGAGCCGCTGGGTAATGTAGTTCAACTTGTTCCGTTTGTAGTTCTATAATATGATCAATCGATTGGTACCTGGGAGAGAAAGTGATGCTAGCGTAATTTAATATATATAAGTTTTAATAGCGTTAGCCACAGGACTGCTAACGTTTGTTCGGACTTTAAATTGAGTCTGAATTTTGTGTTTACTGTGTTTTCCCGCCAGGAGGACGACGGCGTACGGCGGCGGCAGTGGCGAGGAACGATCAGCTGCTCCTCTCTCTCTACTACAGTGAACGTGGAGCTGCTGTTCATAAAGTTTAATTCATCAATAATCAATCAATGAACAATATTTCAGTTTGCTTGAATGAAACTTTAAACATTTAGAGACAAATATCTTTAATCTCCTCTCAGATTAATGGAAATAAATAGTTAAATTAGAGTTAAAATATTCTAATGACGTCACAGTATTTAACTACATAATCAATACTGCAGCGATCTGATCAGCTTTTGGTTTATATATAAAACGTAAATGTGTGATAGTGTGAAATAATATGAGCAGTTTGCCCACTGGAGGGAGCTGCTGAGTTTCTGATCGGACAGATGTGTCTGTGATTTCACTCAGCTTTGATCAATAATATTAGTATTTAACTTTCTCTCTTTTAAAGGTTAAAATCAAAATAAAAGAAGTGCCTTTGTACAGTTTTATATATTTTCTATCACTGGAAATGCACTTTAATAAACACTTTAATGTATCTGAACTTTTCACACCAAACTCCATTCAATAAAAATAGGATTTAAGGTGTGAAGTTTGAGTGACTTTAAATATTACAGGAGCAGGTTGATATACAGATTCATTTAATTTAGTTTAAATTAAATTAAAAAGACCCACAGGATCAATGTGTGTCATCACAACTACATCTCCCATGAGTCTCAGCTGTTAAACCTCCTGGGAGTTGTAGTAGAACAAACTCAAGGTCCACTTACGAGCTTTCAACCACATCTCACTCTGTTAGTGGATCAACTTTATTTAGTAAGTGGACCTTGAGTTAAGTTTATTAAATAAATGTTATATTTTTAATCAAATGATAAAGTGTTGACAGATTAAAGCTTTAGTTTCTTATTTAACTTCAGATATGGACAGAAAGGGCGGGGCTTATCCACGGCGGTGGGCGGGGTTATCCACTATTATTTTAATGCTTCTTGTTGCTGTGATACCTGATCAATGATAAATGGAAACAGATGTTTTCATAATTTCCCAATAAGATTTATTTTGGACAAAATATTAATGGATTATTTGTATAAATAAAGTTTTTTGAAAAATCTAAATGGCTGCACGTTTTCTGTTTTTTGTTTTTTGATTAAGTGAAAACACTTTTTAACCCGTGTTGGTAATATTTAATTAATATCCTTCAGGTCGAGATATTTCTGGGTATTTTCAAGCTTTCAGATGTTTGTACTTCTTATTGTGACTGTAGAGTTAATATAAAGTTAGCATGCGAAGTTGTGATTGAGATTACATTTAATCTCCATTTTTAATCGTTGGAATGACCATAAAGTTGAAAACTGGCTGCTAATCTTAGCAAAATGCTACTTTTTTTGTTTTGTACGTAGGCCTACTGTCGTAGACATGCTTACATTGAGTCAGATGGCACATTTAATGCCGTTCACCAGGCTTAAAGTCAGAATGTTTCCATAAATATGGAGGAACAAATATCATTTTGTGTTGCAGAACTGTTCAGGTTTATCTTGAGGTCCTGACCCCCATGTTGGGAACCACTAATAACAGCGTCCTCGGAGCGTCTTTCAGTCTGTACAACGGCTTTTATAAATAAAAAAACGACGTACAAAACCCCCAAAATAAATAAAACGGTAATACAAAGCGAACCTTCCTCCCTCTTGAACCCGCAACTGAATTAGATTTGTGAGATTTACTCTGCTGAAACATCAAAAAACGCCCAAACAGACGAAAACCTGATGTTTTTGGGGTTTTTTTGCCATATATGTTGAAAGAGTGTGTTCATGTGTGGGAGAGAGACTCGTGTGCGATGTGTGTCACCTGGCACAGCAGCTCCTCACCACTTCCTGTTCCACTTAAAGACGAGAGAGGAAGACAGACGTTGGGGCTTCAGTCGTCTCCATCCGTCGCCGCTGACTGAAAACCAGTTTTGAAGAAAAGAAAAAGGTGTCTTTGGGGAAACCAGTTCGGGATGGAGCTCCAGACGTGGATATCTGGCCTGCTGGTCCTCGCCTCTGTGTTTCCCCCGGCAGGTAAGACTCACCGGACACCCAAAGACACGAATAATTTCACTGCAAAGTCTCTCAGACAAAAGCTTCAATGCACCGACTCCACCTCTGCCTCGACGTTAAAGCAGCTTTACTGCAAACTTCAATTATTCACATTTTTTTTCTCTGTGCTTATATTTCATTAAAAACGGTAACGGTATTTTTTATCTTCAAAATGTTGATTTTACAGGTAAAAAGAGAAAAAAAACCACATTTTAAAAATAATCCGAGAGGTTTCGACGACTTCAACTGACCATAAGAAAATGCTCAAATATGCTAAATATGTTGTTTTTTGTGTGTGTGAAAAAAGCGGAACCCCCAACATGTACGTGAAGACTTCCTGTGAGAACATTTGAACGCTTTCAGCAGCAAACGCGAAGAGAAAGCCGATTACAAGAAACAAGAAACAGAGGCTTCTTTGTGGCGGCCATGTTGGAGGGGTCCCGTTGTTTTTGTCCTCGTCTCGACTCAAATTCTCTACATTGTTGTCAACAAAGATAAAACTAAACATCTTCTGTCCATCGAATTGATTTTTTTGCGCTCAGAAAATATCAGCTGATTAAGCTAAGTGCAGCAGCTGCTCAGCTAATTGGCACAACATGGCAGATTAGCACGCGAGCTAACAAACGGGGTAACGTAGCATGAACATCAACACAGAGACGAGAGAGAGACTCCAGATTGTTGTTGATGAAGAGGTCAAAGTTACTGTGGAGAGGAATAATGTCCGACACTTGTACGACGTTTTTGTGCCGTTGTTCTGAACAGATCGATCTATATCTATATATTAATATCATCGGTTTTATTTTTCAGTTAAATTACGATATAAAGTTGAAAGCTAGTTGCTAACTTTAACTCGACCTGCAGACACAAACGTGTTTCAAATTGGATGCCATGTGAAGAAAACATAGTCATTAAAATGTCTGTTTGGTTCTCTAATGTGGGTTTTTCTCACCAGCTGATCAGTTCCATTAAACCGGGCTGACTGCGAGTTTTCATGCAGCATTGTAGCACCAAAACACCAGTTTACAACATCAATATTAGGGTGTTAAATACCAGTTTAGAATACTAAGAGACCAGTTTAAACCATTTAAAGTTTAGAACATTACAGACCAGTATAGATTAGTAAAATACCAGTTAGAACCATTGAATGTCTTGAGCATATAAACCAGTTTAAACCATATAAAGTCTAAAGCATGAGATGCCAGTTTGAGGCCAGTTTAAACCATAAAAACAGACCAGTAAGACCAGTTCAGTTTGTTTTCAGCAGTGAAATTAAATGTGGGACAAATACAGTTTATAAATCAGCAGCAATCAAAACACATTGAGCCCAAAACTGAGGTGAAACTAAATAATTAAGTAAAATGGAAGTATGGAGAGTTTGTGACGACGAGATCGGCTCCATTTTAGAAACAGAAAACACTTTATAGTGGTTGAAGCCGAACCGCTCACACCCATCGACCTGCGTCCTAATGACAGAACTTCAGAATAAAATGAGGCTCGAGCCGACAGCGCAGAGCAATATCAACTTTTACAGAGCGACACGTCACATATCTCCTTCTGTGTTTATATCTTTAACATTCAGCGACAGAATAAGTGTTATTTGTGGCAGACGTATTTTAACACTTCCTTTTAATAACCGTTGTCTCAGCTCGGTAGAGCCATTACCTCACTTTAACAGACTTTATTAATAAAGCAGCAGATCCAAACACTGATGGTACAGTATAATGGAGGGATTCCTGACTGATTATAAAGAGATATTAATTATTATTAGCAAGAAAAACTCATTTAATTATAACAAACCTCATTAAATTGACCCCTGAGAGACGACACTACAGTGGACACGACTGAGATCCTCGTTAAACAACTTAAAATGTGTTCTTTGTATTCTTAAACGACAAAAATATGATGAAATATTATATAAATAAAACACTTCTGTGTCTGTCAGCACAATAAAAAACTTTAAAATATGATTAATAATAGTTAAACCAAGCACGTCTTCATTAAAAATGCTGTAAATTCAAACTGCAAAGTTTGTCTGAAAGTCCTTTTTAAGAGATTTAACAGCGTCAGCTCTGGTGATTAAAGTATTTTTATGTACAGTTTACAGGATGAATGCATTAAAACAACATTTAAATTATAGCAAACTCCATTTAAACGACCCCTGAGTGACGACGTGTCACTGGACACGACTGAGATCCTCGTTAAACACCACCAAACATTAAATTAGGGTTTTCTTTGGACTGTTAAATAACAAAAATATCACAAAATAAAGTTTAAAAAATCATAGTTTAAAATTTAACACGTTGAATCTTTAAATTATCATTAATAATAGTTAACCAAAACAGGTCTTTATTAAAAATGCTGCAAATTCAAACAGCAAAGTTAATCTCTAAGTCATTTTTAAGAGATTTAACAGTGTCAGCGCGTGTAATTAAATGAGCTTTATGTTTTTTTTACAGGGTTAATGCATTAAAATCACATTAAAATGAAAGCAAACATCATTAAATTGACCCCTGAGAGACGACGCTACAGTGGACATGACTGACATCCCCGTTAAACAACTTTAAATTAGGGTTTTCTTTGTATTCTTAAATGACAAAATGTGATGAAATTGTGTTTTTTAACACTTCTGTGTCCGACAGAACGTTAAAGATGTTAAAAACTTAATAATATTTAATATTAATAGTTCATTAAAAATGCTGCAAATTCAAACAGCAAAGTTAATCTTTAAGTCATTTTAAGAGATTTAACAGTGTCAGCTCTTGTAATCAAATGAGCTTTATGTTCGTTTAACAGGGTTAATGCATTAAAATGACATTAAAAATAAACCAAACAACATTAAATTGACCTCCGACCGGTGACGCTGCATTGGACACGACTGACATCCTCGTTAAACACTTCAGATTAGTGTCTTCTTTACACTGGTGAAGGGAATTAACGATATCAGCGCTTGTAATTAAATTATTTATTATACATTATTATACATAAAAACAACATTAAATTAAAACAAACTGCATTAAATTGACCTCCGACCGGTGACGCTGCATTGGAAATGAGAGGAGAGAGGTCCTCTTAACACACTTGGAAACAGAGAAATTCAGCTTTTATATTCAGGTCAGAGTCATTTTAAAGGCAGCTTCCAGTCTTGAAGGTCTGAATCTTATAAAATCATGTTTTAATTTAACACATTTCATATTTTATATCGGAGATATTTGAATAAACCTCAACTGTGCAGCATGTTTTACACCCTTACATGTAAAAAAGGTACTGATATAAAGTTGAACAGACTGTAAGTGTGAGCTGTAATAATAATAATAATACATTTTATTTAAAGGCGCCTCTCTGGGCACTCGAGGACACCGTACAACACATAAAAAATAAAAACAGTAAGAAATAAGAAACAGATAAGAAAAGACAGTGTAGATAGAAGTGGGGTACGCATAGAACTGAATAACTGCACTTCTGTTTTCTAACTATGTGAAGAAAATTAATCAACCACAAACAGTGAACCCCCCCCGACCTGCAGTCCAGGAAGCAACTCTGTGGTTTCTAGGCTCTTAAAGCTGAACCCTCTTCCCCAAACTGAGCTCCATGCGGTGATGAAGCGACAGAAGCTGCGACCGAAAGCGAACACAACGAACACTCGCGTCAGTTTCAGTCCCCGTCACAGAAACACCCCGCAGACGGACGCGGCCAGGCAAACCCACTGCGCTCAGGAGTCCAAGGTTCTCCTGTACAGCAACACTTCTGCACATTCCTGGTGAAATCCTTTAAACAGAGTTCGCTGTTGTTTCTCAGCCCTGACGGCCATCTTTGTTGAAAGATGGAGGGAACCGGTGAAATGAAAACAGAGAGAAGAGGTGCAGAGAGGTCGGTGGCAGGAAAAGAGAAACGGAGGTGAAGAGATGAAACGTACACATGCAGAGAGGGTGGTGAGGTGTCCTGGATTCTGTTTCAGGTGTTCAGGAACTCTCAAACTGACACTTTACTGTCTGTCGACCCGTTTCACATCAAATATGACGGTTCTCATTCAGCTGGTTACT